TCTTCCTCCTGTAGGTTTTTTTTTTTGGTATGCAGTATTTGTTTTATTTAAGATATGTGACACTAGAAACATGTTAAAGAATATTTTTGAGAGGTTGTAATTGATAACAAAGGGCTTCTGGAAAAGGTCAGAATAGGACAGATGAGGGATGTTTATACATTTAGAATAGAGTTACTGAATGGCTGCTCTGTTGGTCAGAGGTCTCCAGAGAAACAATCAATAAGGATTTATTATGAGAAATTGGCTCATGGAGTATGGAGCTGAGAAGTTCCACAATCTGCATTCTGCAAGTTGGAGACCCAAGAAAGAAGGTAGTGTAGCTCAGTCCAAGCCTGAAGGCCTAAGAACCACAGAGTTCAGTGATATAGTCTCAGTCTGAGGGGGATGGCAGGTGTTGTCTCTTAAGTGCCAAGGAAGAAAAACACAACCGAATTTGGTGAGCTATAGAAATGTTTCATCAGACCAGTTAAGCTAAAGAAGTCCATTCTTGGTCTAATATGAGAATGTTTAGATAGTTGTCAGATAAGATGTTATTTATGAGCATAGCCTAAAGTCAGTTTGCAGTTTGCTGAGTCCTAGAAGCTTTTTGTTACCCTGCTAAAATTATAGGTTCTTTAAAAGCTGCATTTTTCATTCCCAGTCTAATGGATTTGGGAGTGGTGATTGGCTGTGGCTGTTGTCTGTAGGTAGGTGTAGGATTTTTGTAAGGTTACAGTTAATTTATTAGAGTTCAGTTCCCTGTTGAAGTCTCTGATAGGCAGTAAGCATGAGGGAAGTAGAATAGATTGAGTAGAAAAGTATTATGGGGAAGGAAAAACAAAAACAAACTAGTAGCTAAGAATAATAGCTTCAGCCCAGAAGCACTTATTGAACACTTACTTTGGTTTAGACTGTCGGGATGGGACTATAGTCGTGAAGAAACTATGGCAGAACCTGTGTCCGAGCTGATCATGATAGATAAGTAAACATGTAAATATGGTCATTTTAGATACTGATAAGGACTTTGTGGAAGAAAAAATAATGTCCTGTAGGAAGAGTGTTTGGTAGTCCTACTTTACCTGTGGTAGTCAGAAAAGACCAGTCTGAGGTAGTGTCATTTGAACTGAGACCTGGATGATAAAGTATAGGCCATCATACAGAAATCTGGGGAAAGTGTATGAGCAGAAGAATTCAGCAAGTTCAAAGACCCCTGAGGCCAAGGGATTATAAGAAGACTAGTAAATCTAGAGTGCCAGTAAATAGGGTCCAAATGGAGAGAGTCACTGGACAGTGGTTGACAGCGTGAAATAATCCAGGATTTACCCGGTACATATGGTAAGGAGCCTGAAATTTATCTCTGCATAGGGGAAACCTTTGGAATGTTTTAAACAGGGAGTGACATGATCTGATTTAGGAAGATGACAGGTTGCTTATTTGAGAAGCAAGCTGCTCTGATTTTGTCTGTTTATTTATTATAGTTGGGTGTGAAAACAGTTCAGTGTATAGTAGTCATTAAACGGTTATTGAATGAATGAGTGAGTGAGTGAATGAATACACTGTAAGAGACAAGAATAATTGAAGGCTATAATAGGAATTCAAGTGACAGATCCATCATAGTGACTTAACAACACTAGCATTTTCTTGGTAGACATGGTGAAACATTAAGATTGGGAGGTAGATTTTCAGGACTTACTGATCAAATGTGGGTTGTAGAAAAGGATTAAGAAAGACTTCCAGATTTTGACCTTAGCAGCCATTTATAAGGCTGTTTACAGTGGAGGGTAGTGAATTTATTAAATTGGTAGGTGTGCAGTGGTAGTGGCAGGTTATAAAAAAGAACTTGCCTAGAAGTAGGTTGGGAGATTATGTTGATGTTCTTGTTGTCTTACTCCATTTGTTTCTCCCTAACTTGATTCTCAGTGAAGATCTATTCAAATAAAGTTCATAATGTGTGTGTTCACATTCAGTAGAGTGCATGGAGAAACTGACTTCACTTCTGGGCAAGTCTTAATAAATAAGGCTCAGTAGTTGCTAGTCAGACTTATCACTGCCAGTTTTGTAAACTACAGTGGACAAGATCCATGAGCTACTTAAACTTTCCTGGGAGTATTTTATTTATTTACTTATTTATAAGTTCATTCCTTTTTGTATGGTATTACTGCTGCACTCATTCCTCTGATATAACCTAGCATTGTCATTGCTGTTTCAGCTGCTCTAGCAGAAACCTAAGTCTTGATGTCTGGTAGGGAAAGTCAACTACACCATGATACTCTCTTATTTTTCCCTTGGTTCAAAATATTGTGACTTTTACTGGCTTTTACTCTGCCATGTAAATTTCAGAATGGCTTTACCAATTTCCAAGGAGAAGTTTAAAAAAATCAGTAAGGATTTTCTTAAGTCTGTCAAAATGGGGTTTCTTTTTGTGTAGGTTTTCATTAATGGCTTTTAAAGAAGTTTAATTTCCTCCATATATCTTGTATAGTTTTATTTCCAGGTAATTTATTTGTTAGTTTAAATGATTTTTTTTGAAAAATTAAATTTTTGTTGCTGATATATAAAAATGTAGTGGATAAGTATTTATCTTATACCTAACAATTTTTATATATTCTATTACTTTTATTTGGCAGCACTGGGTTTCAAACTCAGGGCCTCATGCTTGCTAGACTGGCACTCTTATCATTTGGGCCACTCCTCCAGTCTTTTTTTTTTTTTTTTTTTTTGTGATGGGCTTTTTTGGAGATAGAGTCTCGAGAACTATTTGCCCTGGACTGGCTTCCAACTGCGATCCTCTTGATCTCTGCCTTCTGAGTACCTAGTTCATCTGTGCTCTATCATGAATCAATATTTCATTCATATTAAGCCTGTTTATGACTAAATGACTTTGTCTGATATGAATATATCATGTTTATCCATTCATCAGTTAATGAATATTAGGTAGTTTCCAGTTTGTAGCTTTTGTGAATAATTCTAGCCACCTTGTCTCATAGATTAGCCCTACCATAACTCTCCAGCAAAATTCCTCCTGTACTTCTCTGCTTTATTTTCTCCTCCTTATCACTATCCAGCATACTGTATGTCATTCTACATGTTTTACTTATGTGGATTTATTGTTCATTTCCACTAGAATCAGAATTTCACAGGGGCAGAGATTTTTGTCTCATATTGATTACCACTTTATCTTTAGGTCCTGAAACTATCTGGCATATAGTTGGCAATCAGTAAATCTTTGCTGAATTAATAAATGGATAAGTGAATGGATGAATCAGATATTTATTATGCTTGGTACTAAGAAATATTTTGTGGTTTAAGTGGCTTGATACTTCTGGACTATAACTATTCTTAACCTCTTCTGTAATACCTTGGAAACTTTCAGGGGGCCTTCCAGCAGTTGCTGATAGCTGTGGCATTTTTACGATGTTGGTGCCTTTTTGAGTAAAAAGTAAAATACATGACTATGTATTTTCAGTTTGCAGTCACTCCAGTATTGTATGGCATCATATGCAGAATAAACATTACATACTATGGAAAGGGACCTTCTCAGAAAGCACAGGACCCAAAGCCTTTTCTGCTTAGAATGAAATCCACATTTCTTCTTCATATATATCATGATCTGATAGAGGAAGTCTTCTGATTGAGCCAATATTTGAGTAGGGTTGACAGATTTTTATGAATTTTTAAAGTGCAACCAGTTATTAGGTTTGCTTCTCTGTGTATATCCTAATTTCCAAAAATTAATGACATTCTAAAACATTTTAAAGTCATTAAATTACAAATGAAACTATTTAAAGGATGCATTAATCTATTTAAAGCAGAGGTTCTATACATAAGATGGGGTGAGGGCATATTTGGCAATGTCTAGAGACATTTTGGTTGTCAGAATTGAGGGATGGTAGCAGGTTCTACTGACATCTAGCTGTTAAACATCCTTCAGTGCACAGGACAGCCCCACAACAATGAATCAACCAGTCCAAGCTGTTGGTAGTGCCAAGGTTTAGAAATCTCAGTTTAAAGCAATTTATAATGTATTTTCTTAGTATAATACTTATTATAGATGATATTGTATGTATTCATACATGCTTGATGACTTATGGAAAATAATAGCTGTAAAGGTATATATGTGTGTGTTATGTATCCTTTCTTCACACTACACCCTTATGTATCTGTAGGGTAAATCATTTTATGTTTTAATTTTGTTCTCTAATAAGTAAAATGTAGAAAATTTGACTTTACCTCCTTATCCTGTGATACATTTTTGATATGTAGTTAAAAAATGCAGCTTCTTTGTCTCTTTTAATTGCTTATTTCTGCTTATTTAAGTTTCATGATATCTTATCTGTTTCATAATTTCCAGATTTCCTTTTCCTTATTAGTTAAAGGTATATGTTAGGTGATCTCTTTTTCTAGAACATTTTATTTCTTAATACTCATAATTCCCAATTTTTAAGGCAAAATTGCTTTGTTGAGGGCATTGCCACTTCTATTTACTTTTAGCTATAGTTGCTTGTGCTCAGTATTCTAGAATGTTATCTATTTTCATACTTAAAAGTTTAAAATTTTTTCTACTTTGTTCTTGGGGTGTTTGTTTGTTTGTTTGTTTGAGACAGGGTCTCACTATGTAGCACAGGTTGACCTGGAACTTGTGATCCACCTGTCTCAGCCTCCTGCATGCTGGGATTGCAGGTGTATACTACCATGTCTAGTCTTTACAACTGTTATTTTTTTAAGCCATCATTAAGTTTTAAGTGGCTCATTTCTTTGATACTTAGTTTCTTTCTGTATTTGAAGTCTCTGTCTTGATTAACCAACAAACAAACTTGAGTATTAGATTAGAAAGACAAGATGTCACTGGAATCTTTTTTTTTTACAATACTTTCATTTTACAGTGAGTACCTTGAAATAAAAAAAAATACAGATTTATTTAGTGACAGTTTGTGTTATTTTGTCTGAAGTATTTTTTTCTGTTGTGTTTTATTAAATAGTAATTTTTTTCATTTTTTAACTGTCCTCTATTTTTGGTATAGATAAATACTGAGGAACATGTGGATGCAACTGATAAGGAGGTTATTTTATGGGATCATAAAATTCCTGAGGATATCATGAAGGAAATATCTACCCCAAAAGAGGTGCCAGCAGAAAGTGTTACTGTCTGGATTGACCCTCTTGATGCTACACAGGAATATACAGGTAATTATAAAAGTAATCTTATTCTTTCTACTACTCATTTATATTAAAGAACCTGACCAGGTAGATAGATTAGATAGATAGATACATAGATAGATAGATACATAGATAGATAGATAGATAGATAGATAGATAGATAGATAGATAGATAGATAGATGTTTTGGAAATCCAGTTAGATTTTAAGACAAGAAAGCTAATGAGAATTATATGAAATGTTTGGACTGGTTCAGTAATTCTCAGCTGTGTGTTTTTGCCCCAATTCCTGTATTATAATGTATTCCTCTATTCACAGCAGCTCAGAATCAATGGCGTACTGATTCATCAATAAAGGAACATTTTTAACAATAACAGCAACATAGTGTCATAATTAGACACCTATTAGTGAGGAAGTTTATTTAACCAGAATAGTTTGGAATATTGGGAATTTGACCAATATTTGACCTTGGAATTAAAAATGGTAAATCCTGGGTACCTAGAAAGCAAGAAGTAGCAAAACAGAATTACCCTCCCCCTTCACATTCTTTTTACCTAGTCCTAGCTCAGGTTTCATTTTTGTGCATCCTTTCTTAGGCCTTGTTTACCCTGCTTTTTCTCTCTTACCTTGCTGTATGTGTTGAAGTTAGTTGTTTATTTGTTTTGCTAGATGTAAGCTCCTTGAATATGGGAGCTTCTACTCTTTGACCTTCATATTCTGTGCACTTAACTTGAACCAACAGATTGCTATTTAGAGAACAGTGAAAGACACTAGGGATGTGTGTGTGTGTAAACTGAAATTATAAAACAGCATTTTCCATGTTTGCATGAGTTAGTAAAGCTTTTTTACAAAACATTTTTCCTAAACTGTACTGGCCTGATCACATAATAACAATATTTAGTAAGCATATCCTTTATGCAAGGACTGTTGTAAGTGCCTAACTTGATTTTTAAATTAATTCTAAAATAAAAGATACTTTAATTGATACCTAAAGATGGGTCATTAATTGTTATTTGCCCAAAGATATGCAGCTAATAAGATGGTGGACTGGGAAAATAACCCGAATAATCTGCGTTTGGAACCCGAGCTTTTTCTATTTCCTATAACTGGCCCTCATCCCTGGACTCTGTTTGCTTAAGGAGATTATCTTTGAGAGACATTTCATGCATATAAATTTTTAATGAAATTAAGTACAGTATTATATATGGAATTTGTTCACAGTACTTTGACAATTGTGTGTATGTGTTTTGTTTTTTCCTTACAGAGGATCTTCGAAAGTACGTCACTACTATGGTGTGTGTAGCTGTAAATGGTAAACCTGTGCTAGGAGTTATACATAAGCCATTTTCTGAATATACAGGTATGAAATAATGTGAGAGCTTTCAAGAGTTGTTGAATTGTTTATTGTACTTAACCATTATATTAAAATCTCATCTGTAGCTAGCTTGGTAATTATTAAAGTTTGTTCCCTACACTTTCAAGACAGGTCTTCCTTTTTACCATCATTCTCTTTCTAGGCAAGAAGAAAAGGAAAAGAAGAGCAAAAGTTCTATCCCAGATATTCTTTTTGCTAGGCAAAAATAACTTAAAGCTCCATTCATTTAATTTCTGCTTCATCTCATTGACTAATCGAAAGAAAATTAGAGCCTCAATAAAAGCAATGAAGAGAAAATTGATGTTAGATAGGCATAGAGATTCACATTTGAGCCTTGGTTTCCCATATCTGTCTATATTAGCAGAAAGAATAGAAATAATGCCCAATTTTTTAAAAACTTCATTCTTCTGTGATAAAGCTGACTTGTCTAATGTGTTGGCATGTGAAAATGCATGCTAATTACCACACTCTTAAGTGTCACAGCTTCCATTCCTGGATGCCTTGTGTCCTCCTTTCAGAATGTTATTTTCAAACCCAGACTGTGTATTGATCTTGGCAGGGATACTGTTTGTAAACTATTGTATGTTTGCCAGAATTTAGCTGTTTGTGACTACAGTGGGAACTACATGTTGTTGTAGCAGTTGGAATTCGTACCACTTGGGCCCAGGTACAGCTCAGTGGTAAAGCCTAGCATGATACATGAGGCCCTGGGCTTACCCCAGTACCACATTAAAAAAAAAAAAACCCTCTTATCAGTTGCTTAGAATTAATTCCTTATGTTTAAAATTCTTAGAAACAAGAAATACTTGAATAATATTTTAATGAAGTAATACATAAATAAGTTCTAATATCAGAAGTCTATATAGCAAAGTGTCAATTACTTTTTATTTTTACTGGGCATTTTTAGCATATCTTACTGGTAAACAACATTCTGCAGCTGCTATTTACTTGACTCCTGTTACCTTCTCATCATTGTGTATGGTTATTTAAGTACCTACTATACTTTTTAAAATGTGTCCACATAAGTGTTAACAAATGAATATATTGAGTTTAACATGAAGTACATTTTTTAAAATAGTAAATTAATAATTCTTATCTAAAGTCATTCTGATATTATCTACTGAAATGTGCTATTTTTATCCTCTTATACAATACTGACCTCTAGAGATAGGTCATTGTAAATTCACTTCTTAGTAAAACTTTTCTGTCTTCTTCATTTTTCTTTTCACTTTTATTATGAATATTTTCAAACAAACAAAATTACAATGAATCCTCACATACTCCCTCCAGATTAATAATGTCGCATATTTGCTGCTTTTCTTCTATATAAAGAAAATTATAGGTGTCATAACATTTTACCATATATGCTTAATTACGCATCTCTAAAAACTAAGGACATTTTTCTCCACAAGAATACTGTTAATATATTAAAATTAACAATTATTCCCTAATGGTATCAAGTATTAACATTTCCCAAGTTGTTCCTAAAGTAGACTTTATAGCTTGTTACTTCAAGCCAAGACCCAGTCAGGTGAATGCATTTCTTTTGGTTGTTAAGATTGTTAAATTGTTGTAATCAACTTCCAGCCCCCTTTATGCCTGTAGTGTTGACTTGTTGAGTCATTTCTCTTGTCTTTTGGATTTGTCTCATTGTTTCCTAAGGGTTTTGTTTAACTTGTTTATTTTTATATCTTATTTTTATAAAGTACATATTAGATCTGAAGCCTTGATTAGATTGAAGATTATACATTTTTATTAAGAATACATTGTAAAACTGGGCATGGTGGCTCATACCTGCAATCCCAGCTACTTGGGAGGTGGAGATAGGAGTATCAAGTTTGAGGACAGCCTGGGTGAAAAAGCTTGAGACACTAACTGGAAAATAAAAGGCAGGAGGGTTGGCTCAAGTGGTAGAGCCCTTTCATAGCAAGCACATGGCCAAGTGTTCAAACCTTGGTACTGCCAGAAAATAAAATAATACATTGTATATGTTCTTCATGTACTTCTGCATTATATTGATAGGATGTATAGAGTTTCCTTGTTTCACTATTAATGATATTCAGGTGGTTAAAGTAGTCATGACCGGAGCTTTCAATTACAAAATTATTTTTTCTTGCTACCAGCAAGTAACCTTGGTATTATTTGAGATCTATTTTCCATTAAACTCTTCACATAATAGATTTAAGATGTATTAAGGATATTACAAAATGAGATTTTCTAATTCTGTTATGTTTTCTATATATGTTATTGAGTACTTTTTCCATCAATTGGAGTTAACTGAGATGTATTTTCTTCTAGAAAGGCAGGGTAAATGCTTAAGTCTTTTTCTCTTTACTAATTTTCAGAGTAAGGATTTAAAATACAGACCACCTCCAGTGGGGAGAATATTTTTTTCAGGAAAGAACCCATGCTTTTTCTTCTCAGTGCTTTGTTGCCAAATTGAAGTTCTATGTTCAGTAGTCCTCATATTAAATGGGACCTTTTTCTTGGGGAAGAATCTTGGCCCTCATCTACCACCACTGAAAGTTCTCCAACCTCCATACCTCTGTGAAGCTCCTTGCTGTTATCCCCACAATGGGGTAAAATCCAGCATGTACTCTGCTGATCTTCCGTGTTTTTTTTCCTGCACTCATATATTTGTGTTTGGAGTTCTCCTGTCTCCTACTTACTCTATAGGGTTAGATCATTCCCATTATGGGGTGTGTATGGTATTCAGAAGGTGGTACGAGAAGAGTCCAGGAGGTGGCTATCATCTTTAGGGAACTTAGAAATCCAAACTCTGCTAATTTTTTAAATTTTATTTCTGTAGCTAGGAATAAACTCATGATAAATCTACTTTCATTGCTAACCATGGTAGACTATATTTTAATTCCATAGTGAGTGAATGCTGGAACAATAATCTAATTGGGATAATTCTGAAGAAGATGGCTGGCTTTCATAGTTTGATAGCCAGTGAAGAAAACTTCCAAGCCAAGAAAAACATCTCAAGCCATCTCTGAGGTTCCCTCCCCCCTTTAGTCTGTTCTCTTTTGAAATGTAATACTTTTTATATTCCCTGATAAAACAGACATGTAAACTTAACTAGCTTACTTCAACTATTTTCTGTTTATAAAGCCACTTAGAAGCTTGAGCCAATATGCAAATAAGTGTAGCTATGAATATATCCAAAGTAAAACAGTATGGGATAAAAGTCAGTTTTAAAATTTGAGCTATGTTTGTCACAGGTTGGTCTTCCCAGGAATCAGAATGAGATGCAGATTAGATGCAGGATGTTTAGTAGGGAGTGTTAGAATCAAGTTTGTGAAGGGAGAGAAGGAAGAGTGATAAATGCAGGGAGATACGAGTTGCAGTACAGTCCCAGTGGAGGCTCAGCTAACACAGCAGGGGAACTCTTCAGCCAAATAATAATCATTCTCTGACTGCACAGGAGGAGTACATGACCTTGTTTTTGACTTTGTCTTAATATATACCTGTCTTTTTCTTTTTTCAGTTGTATTGGGGTTTGAGCCATGTCCCCAACTCTTTTTGCTTTAACTATTTTTGTAATAGGGTCTTGATTTTTGCCTGAACTGTCCCAGCTGTGATCCTCCTACCTGTGCCCCCTATCTAGCTGAGATGATAGGCATACATGACCACATTCAACTTACTGGTTGAGATGGAGTCATGCTAACTTTTGTCTGGCCTAGCCTTGATTTATGATCCTCCCAAAATCTGCTTCCTGAGTAGCTGGGATTACAGCCATGTGCCATCATATCCAGCTCATACCTGTTTTAAAAAATTTACTTTTGTCCTTAGAAAAAATAAAACATTCTGTTTTGCAGAAAAAAATAATTCTATGGAAGATTTTTTTTTCAGTCTCTGGATAATTAAGAGTTACAAGGAGTGTAACTTATACCTAGTATACAAGTGGATTAAGAGTAATGGGTTAAAAGAATTTGAAAGCTTCAGTGCTGTTAATGGATATTACATTTGCTTTTCAGCTTGGGCAATGGTAGATGGTGGTTCAAATGTGAAAGCACGTTCTTCCTACAATGAGAAGACCCCACGGATCGTTGTGTCTCGTTCCCATTCTGGGATGGTCAAACAGGTTGCTTTTCAGACGTTTGGAAACCAGACTACAATCATCCCAGCTGGTGGTGCTGGTATGTTCTTCCTCCTGCGTGATTCCTGGTACTGTTCTCAGCATAGGTGAAAACTGTGTCAGGAGACTGATTGGTTTATTCCAGGCTTGGGAAGAAAGTGAGAAAGAATAGCATACTTTGAAAGCAGGCTCATTCTCCTGCTTGGTAATCTCTAGGATGGAATTTCATTGGCATTGGTGATACCAGAAGGAAAAGAACTCAACAAAAAAGATTTCTCTTCCTCAAATACTACAGAAGCATCTTTCCATCGTTGTTGTACCATTAGTAATTGCTTTTTATATGGTCTGACTTCAAAATAATTGTTCTGTTATTTTAATATTGGGAACGTCTGGGAGAGGAGGAAACATCAAGCACTTAAGATGTTTCATATGGCAGAAGGATTCCAGGAGTTACCCTAGCTATTATTAGTCACTTTTAACATCCCTGAACTCTGCAACTTGACGTCTGGATGAGTAAGATACCCAAGTGACCACTCATTGACTATATATTCCATGCTGTTATATTACCTGATTATAGATCAGAGGTCAGCCCACCATTCTGAAAAGGGACAGAAAGTAAATATTTTAGACCCTGCCACATAACAGTCTGTGGCATATTATCTTTGATTTTTTTAAAGCCACCTTCTAAAAGCTATGAAAAAATATTCTGTGAAATATGTACAGAAACAGACCATGATCTGGATTTGGCTTGGGGACCATTTGATGACTTCTATTATATATGAGTGCTGTTACATGTCAGAAGGGTTTTAATTCAGGTAAACAGCAAATTATGGCCAGAAAACATTTGTGTTGGTTTTATTCTTTTCGGTCCCTCCTCATTACAAGAAGAATTTAAGAGTAATAATGTTGGTTTTTGTTCTCTTCTTTCAGTCAGTCCTACTTAGATGTTTAAGTAGTCTCTGTGGGTGTTTAGCCTCAGGATAATGTTGTTTCATAGAACATGATACATATTGCATGTGTCCTTTGTAGAAAACAACCACAAAAATTTAAAAAATTGAAGGCATATTTGGTTACACTTGAGACTAGTTTAGTAAGTTATTTTGCAGTATATTTTTACTCCTTAAGTTTAATGTTTGTATTGTTACTTGTAAAAATATATTTTATTTGGACATAATTATTGACTTAGGAGAGTTACAAAGAGAGTACAGTGTGCACACATTGTCCTGTTTTTTTCAACATGCTCAAAACAGTGTGCTCAGTCAAAAATGTACATTTCTTTCTTAAGATCTTTTGAATAATAACCTAAATTCTGTGTTTATCTTTTAGGTTATAAAGTTTTAGCACTCTTGGATGTGCCTGATAAAAGTCAAGAAAAAGCTGATCTATATATCCATGTGACATACATCAAAAAGTGGGATATTTGTGCTGGTAATGCCATTTTAAAAGCCCTTGGGGGGCATATGACCACCCTGAGTGGTGAAGAAATCAGTTATACAGGGTCCGACGGCATTGAAGGGGGACTTCTCGCTAGCATCAAAATGAACCACCAGGCTCTGGTCAGAAAACTCCCAGATCTAGAAAAGACAGGACATAAGTAAGCATAACTGACAACAGGGTGCATCTCTTCCAGAGCTGAAATGGTCAGCTTGAACTGCTGGAAGTGTCAAATGATTGGTGGAGACTATGCATGGTTAAGGCCATCCTGAACTTTTTTAAGTATTTATGAAGCATCAGAGACTTATTTTCCCTGAAATAGGATGGAAAATCAGGGAAAATGGGTTGCTTCATGTCTCAAGTATTGTCTTTATTTTTGAGACTATTTTCGTACAGTTGTCATATACAAGCGCATATATATATATTTGTGAATTAAAATCTATAGCTGAGTCTACATTGTTATGAGTCACCATTTTCACACATCATGAATCTGCATTATTTGTTAATACTTTGATATAGAATTGGGTTGAAGGAAGGATTGTTTAATGTAACTTTGCAGTTATATCTCATTGAGAATAAAGTAACAGGATTTTTACTCCTATTCAGATGGAAAGCACAAGAAGCCTCATTCATTAATATGCAACAAGTGCTCTGATTCATCTGTTATTTCCATGGATTAAAATGGAAAAAGCTCAAACTGATCTTTTCTTTGAAATTTCAATAACAGGTTCACCAGCTAGTAAAAAAATACAGACGTGATGGTTTGCATTGTAATTGTAATTTTCTGTGTATGTGTGTGTATGTGTGTTTTGTTTTGATAAAGAAAAGTATATTTTTACCCATGGGTTCAACATTTCTGCCACCTTGCTGTTGACTTTCATATTCCCTGTGAAAGATGCATGGTTCCATCTGTTCCCTCCTGACCAACATTTAGTCTTTAACTTATAAGGTTTGGTTTTAGGTTTCAGGGTTAGTTCTATGATTTTACTACACTTAAGGATAAAATATGTTACAAGGCACTATAAGAATATAAATGATTTTATTGTAATTGAATGTTACCTGAGTCTACGGCCATACCACCCTGAACGCGCCCGATCTCGTCTGAATGTTACCTGACATCTGGATTGAACTAGTTTTTGTTAATTTTCAGGAACTTTGTTTTAATCAGTTTTAAAAGTTTTGCCAGGTTTATATATAGAGAGCTGTCATTATCAAGAATAAGTATGGTTGCTTTTGCTGTGGTTGCTTTTACTATTAATAAAGTACTACTAATAAATGTACCTAACCTAACCAAACTCTCAAGTAGTAACTTTTGAGATACTTTGTAGTTTCCCTTCCAGTTACATTAATGAAAGTTAAACTTTGATGCAGGTTTTTTTTCCTGTTCATTTGGCCCAATCTGCTTAGGGGGAAAAAAAAGGTTATGCAGTGTACATTGTGGTGCTTGCTTTTTAAGCTTTCTTTTATTGAGATGTGTGTTCTCTCAGTGTGATTTTCTAGAAAATTCATGTAAGCGGTCAGTACTGTTACTGCATGTGTCTTCAATGCCCTTGTAGGCCATAACCTACTTATAAAGTAAGGAATTTCTCATGCGTGCTTTCTTTTTTCTTTTTTAAAAAAATTTAACTCTAAAACAACTTTCTATTTTCCTATGTTGGAAGTAAATTGAGCAAAGAATGTACATTCCAGCCTGGTAGGATGTACATGCTTTTTAGATGTGCATGTTATACTGTCCAAACCCCTTAATTCCTCATTAGTGAACTGAATCTAGTAGTCTACAAATGTTTTCACTTCGTATCTAGCAACTATTAACAGGTACATTAGGCCTTTGTTCAATGAAAATTCACCCAACATTTTAGTAGTTGAAACGATATTTAAATAGGACTTAAGTGTTATGAAAAGAATTTCAGAGACATTTTTTTCTTCACAATATGACAAGGAAAGGAAACACTTTTTTCCTTAGAAGAGAGGGCAAAGACAGATATTATTAGAGTCCTGTAACAAATATTTTTTTAATTGTGTATCAAAGAAAAATGGGACTGGCAAGTAGGAAGTGAAATTTAATTAGAGTTTTTAAAATATATAGAAACTTTATGCTTTAATTGAAGTAAAACTAGTACCTATTAAGCATGATTACTTTAGTTTTATTTTTAACTCTTTCATGCATTACTAAGGCTGTGAAGGAGATGTGTTATATGCAAAATCAAGCTATTGGCTGAGAGTTAAATACATTATTTTTATAATTTGTTGGGTATAACCTAGTTACTGAAGATTTTTTAAGTACTTTTATAGAAAGCTCATTTTCAAAACTTTGTTTATGTCTCAAAGCCAGTATACATGACAAGAAACAGTATTTACATTCATGAGACATTATTGTGCCAGCACATACTAAGTAGTAAAACACCTTTATGAGTAAGTAAGGTATGTAACCACTCCTAGAATTAATAAAGTTATTTCTAAAACTTAGCAAAGTAAGTACAGTTTACTTTTAGTGACTCCCCTTGCTGAACTCCTGGTCTTCCCCTTCCTTCATCCTTGCCTTTACTTAGAGATAATTTTCCCTAGAAAGCTGAGTTTTATATATCATATTTAGTAGAAGCAGTGTCATCATAACCTGAGTGTCCAGCTGCCTCCTCCTCTGCCTTCTTGATCTCTATCCTATACCTGTCTCCTTGGCCCATTTATATTCTGGTGAAGTTTCCAGTGAGGGAGATCAATCCTGGTAGGTGCCTAGTTGACAATTACTTTTCAGACTATATAGAAAGAAAAGGAAAATCACCTTCAAGGTCACGAACCTTTATGTTGTCAAGTCTAAAGCATTTCTTCCCACCCATCTCTCAAGAATGTAAACGTGGAAAATATGAGAGAGTTGGATAGATAACCCTACTGGAGAAAACCACCTTTCCTGTTTTCTTACTCATATTCCCCCATCTCACTTGAGTTCACAAGATCGTACAAGATGGCCATATTTTTTGTCTTTGGTATGTGATTGTCCTCTTGCCCCCCAATTTTAGTGAGTTTTTTTTATTTTAAATCCATAATATTCAGATTGTTTATGATGTATACTGAAGTAACAGTCATTTTGGTTTATGTTTTAAGCAATTGTGAAAAGTCTTCCTGTTTGCTGTGTGCTCCCTTTGAGTCCCTTGCAAATTGTGTCAAAGGAGGTGGGATGGGGGCTTGATTGAGAAGAGGGAGAGGGGAGGCAAAGGCAACTGAGGAGGGGTACCAGGCAAGCATCTGGCCTGGCCCCTTGGATCTACCCTTGTCTTAATGCTAAATTGAAAAATTAGACTTCACTCAGTCTGTGAAGGTAACAACTGTCTCTGATAGCTGAGGCATAAGTAAAGTAGAGTGCCACTGCAGTAAATAAAATACTCAGCTTTCCTCTCATGAGTAACACCTTGAAGGCCTTCCTGACATAAAAGCAGTTATTCAGATGACTAGCTACAACTACTTATCGTGGCTATGTGTTGATTGCCCCTAGGTAGAAATAGTCAATTTTTATTTTATAGCTTGGTTGAGTTTAAGATATATTTAATTATATGCCTAAAAAAAAATCTGTCTTACAACTGTTGTGGAAAATAACCTAATCTGTGGTTTTATTTTTATCCTAAAAAAAGTTGTGCCTTAATAATAGGGCATTGATAAGGAAAAAACAAAACCTTTTTTTAATAGATGGGAAAAATAGGAACTTTTGCCATTCAAATTTAAGTTCTTTTAGTGTTTTTAATATTGGAGTTGGGAAATTCATTAAAATTAAATAAAGTTGATATGAAATTATTTTTGCATAATCTAGCATTTACAACTAAAGTACATTTTTATAAGAACTGGCATTTTGATGTATATAAGTCTGAAATGATATTTCATGTTTTGAGTTTTAAATTAATACCAGGATAGATCACATTTTACAAATTTTACTTTCAAATAAGTCAATTCAGTGTGCTAACTTCTCTGTTCTAGTTTTCTAGTCATTTTATTTAAAAAAAGCTATTCATGGTAGCATGTCAGTTATTTGTTAATGTTAATACTGTATGTATGTGACATCACAAACAGTTCCTAAGGAGAAGATTCTAATTCTGATTAGCAGCTACTTTGTGGGCAATTAGAATCAAATTTGTAATTCAAAAGGAGGTTTTGGTTTTTTGAGATGTTGGTTTTATAAATTATTTATTTTGATCTCTTCAAAGCCTGGTAGGTTGTATGCATTTCAATATATCATTGGCAGAGATTCTTTTTCAAGTTGGGTGGTGAATTAATGTGGAAAACTGAGATTTATGTTTTTGAGATAATACAAACCAAATTTTGAAGTTAAGGATGATGTTGATAATATTAAAACAATTTGTTCTATATTGTGTTTGTAAGAGTTCGTAAAGTATTACAGTTACCATAATTTGTATGACTTGCAAAAGCTGAAGCTGACATTTTATTAGTAGTATTTTCCATTAAAATTCTAAGATGTATTGCAAGTAGTGAATTTTTATTAAGGAGCAACTTTTCTGTATTTTTCTAAAATAGCAAAGAAAGCATACTAAGTGGACAGTTAAGCTACAAAGAGGTTTTCTTTCTCCCCAAATGAACTTGTCTAGTCTTCATCATTCGTGTAGTGTTAAGGAGGGAACATTTATTTTTTACGCACACTTACTGTACTCTACTGGCAGAGCCACAAGTAGTTTTTTAAATCTAACAGAAGAAACCATATTCTGCAATGATGAACAATAACACTGCCAGGGTTTTGTTTTTCCCTTTTGACTTACCTTGAGCAGCTACACATGTATATGCTGGGTTTACACTGAAATTATGAAAGTGTTTCCTGTCTGTGTCCCTGGCTCTTCAAATTTTTTTTTTTTTGTCATCACTACCTGTTACTCCATTTCTAAAAATGGGTCAACAGTGAAAGAAGTTAAAATGAAAACACTTTACTTTTGAATCCTCTTTCCCCTTTCACATACTTGAAGCCATTGGGAGCTAGACCTTTTCCTGTTGTGGAGACATTCTTTGCCACAGCTTTCTTGGCTTGTTCTGGCTTGCCTTGCCCAGATGGTGAAAGTTAAGTGGGTCCCAACTCCAACCTTTACTAGGAAATAAGCTGTTTCTCACCATGGCTTTAGAGCAGTTTTTTTAGCCCTCATGTATATACCACTTTTATATACATTGTTACTAGTTTATAAACTTCTTCAGGAGAGGGATTGGCTCTTCATGATTGTGGGGTTTTCATCATAACCTCAATACTTGACTTGCATAAGTTAGATCCTTAGTATGTGTTGAACTAAATTGACTAAAGGATTACTATTAATGTTAACATGTTATATGCTTCAGTTGTATAAGCTAGTTGTTTCTTTTATAAATACCTGTGATTATCATCCTACACACACTAAATTATTTTTTAAAGTTTTGCCTTTCCTACAGATACTATATCCTATGGCCAATTAAATATAGAAAATGTGATTGCTT